CCCGCAGCCCCGCAGCCCCGGCGTCTGCAGTGAGCTCGCCGCCAGCCCGGGGATGGAAGCCGGCAGGTGCGGAAAGAGGGACGGCGCCGACCGGGGCCAGAGCCCCGCCGCTGGGGAGGCAGGCAGGGACCAATGGGCACGGACGGTGCCCCTGACGGGTGGGCCAGACACATTCCCAGGGGTGCCGCCCGCACCCCTCACCTGGCAGACGAAGGGGAACTGGTGTCTCCCGATGTGGTAGCCGTCTAGCCCGAGGGGGAAGACGGCCGCCAGCGCCAGCGAGCAGCCCACCGCCGTCAGGTTGTTCAGGTTGGGCTGTGAGTTCTGGATATAACTGGGGCAGGGGCAGAGCGGGAGAGGGGAGCGGTCACCCTCTGAAGGGAGCCTCGGCTCCAAAGGCACAGGACAAAGACTGGCTGGAGCCGAGAGCGCGGCCGCCTGGCCCGCCGGGGCTGCCCAGGGCCTCCCCGCACAGGCCCCACGCGAAGGCTGCCGCGGCTGCCCAGGGCCTCCCCGCACAGGCCCCACGCGAAGGCTGCCGGGGCTGCAGGCGGCCGCCTCCGAGCAGGGGGGCGTTCTCCTGGCTCCCCTTCTCGGCCCGCGATCAAGAGAGCAGGAGATCAGAGTGAAAACCTCCATGATACAGGGCCCCAGAGTCACACAGGTTGGCGCTCACTCCCTCAAGGATCCTATCTTGGAGAGGCAGACAGGACAAGAAAAGTGTCGGGAGATACACTTACCGGACGTGGGCGTTGTAGATGTTAAAGGACAGACAGACAACAGCTAGGACAATGCCCAGGCTGGAGAGAACGGAGACGGAGATAAAGAGTTTCTGTGACAGGAAGCGGAACGTCTTGATAACCAGGGTCTGGTCAGCAGGGGGAGACCCACCTATGGCACAGGGAGAGTGGGGAGAAAGGGAAAGAAAAACTAAGGGGTAGGAGGGAATGAAGGTGGGACAGGGGAGGCAATGGACAGAGCTGCTNGGAGAGTGGGGAGAAAGGGAAAGAAAAACTAAGGGGTAGGAGGGAATGAAGGTGGGACAGGGGAGGCAATGGACAGGGTGGACACTCATGCCTTTGGCTGGGAGAACAGGAGGCTCTAAGCACCCAGGTCAGCAGCAGGTGCAGGGCTCCTAAGAGCAATGACGCATGTGCTCAGAAAATGGGTAGATGTCCTGTCTAGAGGCCAACAAAGGCTGAGGTGCATCACCAAAGCTGTAGTCTTTTTTGGTTGGTTGTTTTTTGTCTGCCTTTCTTACAGGAAAGGAAAATGGGAGGGAAAGTTGGGGATAGCTGAGGAAATTATGAGGTTTCTTATAACTCAAATCAAAACCAAAAAAAGAAGCTTTATAATCTCAGAATCATAAAGCTGAAGAGCCTCCAAGCATCTAGTCTGGCCTCCTAACTTTAGGAAAAGAAGAAACAAAAACTAATCTGTGATTTTTAACCCTGGCAGGGTGATATTCCCAAAGGTGTTTTCCAAGTATCACTGAGGAAGCTTAAATTTGTCAGAGTTCATGGGAGGGTGGGGGGGCTAATTTCAATTTGCTTAGCTTGGGGAAAGGTGTAATTTAGGCCATGTAGCATTTATAGCGGCCCAGAACACTGCCCTAAATTCAAGTCATAGAGCATTTCAGAACCCAGCAGTGGTGGGAGCTCCTGGACTCCAGCTGGGCAGGGAAGGCAGGGGTCTCCGGGCTGAGCCTCCCTCCAACCTTAAGATGCCCAGACTTTATTTCACCAGGAGGACCTTCCTTTTTGCCCACCTTTAGCATCTTTCCCATTATTTTAGGCCACCAAGCACACAATGAACACTGCTTACTTTCCCTCTTTAAACACACGCTTTAGCAGAAGATAGCTTCCATCCTCTCCTATGGTTTAAGCAACTGTTTTCTTGGCAAAGAGGCAAGTCTAGGCCTGACATATCAAGGCACAAGCATCTGGGAGACCCAAACAGTTTCTGTTTTCTGCCCCTGCCTACCCTGCCTCCAGTCCCCAGTGACTATTTTTAACAATGCACGCCACCAACTGCCTACTCCCTCTCCCGATATACCAGTCTCCTCTGCCCATGCCTTGGAGACTCTATTCCCTTTCTCTCACCCACGGCCCCTGGTCCATCTCCCTGGAGCATTTCAACCTAATGGCACCTACCACCCACCTTCCTTCAAATGCATGACCCTTTTCTGTGACTGTTCAGAGGGGTTGAAAGAAAATACACAAAGGACCCACTTACCAATCCACTTATCTGTTTTCCACCAGGAAAGATCATCCTTGGTGCTGTCATAGTAGCCGATCTTCTTGTAGCTGCCACCTGGGCAGATGAAATAGAAGGCGTGACCATGGGGGGGGCGAGGAGCTGGTTCTGGGCATCCTCAACTCTACTTCCCTGAAGCAGCCTCCTCTGCTTGTGCCCGATTCCCTGGCACCCTAAGCCCCTGCAAGAGACTTGGCAGGATGAGCAATCTGAAGCAGTATAACGTGGGTGCCACAAACCAATCTTATGTGTGTGAAGCCAGCACTCGCTCCACAGCCCGGCCTCTCAGCAAGATGCTGCTCAAGGATTCCAGCGTCAAAGCTTCACACACTGGTTTACTGTCCCTCATGATAGACAGAATCACCGAATCACTTCCCAGTGGCTTTCATTCTAACTTTATAAATTCCTCCTATGCTAGTTGGCTTGGGTTCTAATTCCTTAGCTAAGCTGTACCCTGCCTCTTAAAGAGCCACAAAGTGAAATTCAGTAGCTCCAAAGAGTCATGTTCTAGAACTGTCCCGGGTACCCTAGCTTTTCCATCAAAAGCCAATTCATTCCCCTTCACCATGGCCAAAGTCCATTTCCTCTTGTCCTGGATACAAAGAAAATCTGAGAGGACGGGGGAGAAGGGAGGAGGAGAGAAAGACACTGTTCACAGGGATCCAGGAGACGGCTGTCTTGGCCACGCTGTAGGAGGCTGAGAGGGGTTAGGGCTGAGACATTAACTCATAGAAGTTTTGCAAATATGTAAGTGTGCTGAGTTATAAGAAAATGCGACCCAGAAAAGCCAAACTTTACATACTCCAAAAAAATTAAGAATGCTTACTTATATAGCAAGAAAATTCTGTAAGTTCCCTTTAAAAATAGCAGGTTTCCTAGATTCAGCTTTCCTTTAGTCCCTGGGTATGCCAGTGACAGGTCGTTAACGCCTCAACCCAAGCCACCAATGGGAAATTTCTGAAACCAGCACGGCAGCCAAGACAGAAACAACGCAACCCCTGCAACTCAAAGAAAGCCCCCCCACAAGCTGTTTTCATTATTATTACTCTTATCATTATGAGTTAAAAGCTCGATGAACAGTTAAAAGAGAAGGGGGGAGGTGGAGGGGAACCAAGGCCGTCTTGTGTTTTGTGATGTCTCCTGGTACCCCAGGCCAGGCCAGCTGGGCCTCTACCACCCCGCCCCTCATGCCCTGTGCTCACCCTGGAGCTGCTCAATCAGTGTCCACGCCATCCGAGAGCCGCTGGCATCAAACACCACATGGCCCTGAGGGAGAGGAACAGCCACGGGAAGGCAGGTGGGATAAAAGCAAGAGTGAAAGAGAGCATCGGGACTCTGAATCCTTAGGTTTTTGATGTTAATTGAGATTTGGAATGAATTCTATTTGTGGCTTTTGCCTGCATATAGGACATAACATGCCCCAGATACCCACACCCTAGATTTCAGAAACACTCTTTTGAGAAGCTTCACCCACGAGATTTGAATGCAAGAATTCCCGACAGAGCCAGGAGGCCTGGCTTCTGCTGTGTGGCCTGAACCAGTCACTGAATCCCTGGGATGCTGAGTTTCCCACTTCAAAAGGACAAAGGAGATGATCTGTTTTTTTCAAAGCCCTGTGATTCTTATCTGACTCATAATATCTGGACTGAGAAGAAATGGGGGGGGGGGGCTGAAAGCAATGGAATAGGCTGTTTCCCCTTCTAATTCCTGGTAGGTTTTACTGGTCTGGGGTCCCTACTGCTTGGTCTGAGGCTGATCACTGCAGGGAGGCAGCTGAGAAGGAACGTGTGTCTCCAGGAGGCGGGTCCCTCAGCGGGATGACAGCGGCCTGTGCAGGTCACTGGAACTCACAGAGACGCCCTCAAAGGATGAGGAGTTCATTGCCCGGTAGATCTGGTCAGTGATGGTCTGGTTGTTGTAGTTGAAGTCCTCCAGGCGCACTCCTGAACGGCCACCCGCTCCGGACGTCTTGTTTAGGGCCAGGGCCAAGGCCCAGATGGCATCGTAAGCCAGCGGCGCCTCCTGGAAACCACCTGTCTCCTCGGGGTGTCGTTTCAGTCGCTTGGTCAGTTTTTCCACAAACTCCTGGGATGTCTGGGGAGGAAAGGATTGCAGTGTGGGACAGGATGGGGTGGCATCTGATTCTGGTTCCAACACCCTGGCTTGAATAGATGGTATAAGTTCATGTTGTCAGGTTGAGCACGTGCACTCAAAACCTTTCAGAATACCCAAGTGTCTGTCTTACATCAGAAGCTACTAGACTAGGGCAGGGAGTCGCTGGGACCAGCGGTCTTCGTGTGCACAGCTGCTAGCTCAGATCTGCAGACAGAGAAGCTGAATGAACACATGCTTCGCACGATGGGCAGTGAAAGTTAGAAAGGAGAGATAGAGAAGAGCAAGAGGATGGTTGTGCTCTCATCTTCAGACCCAACAGGGCTGACCCAGGACAAACAGCTCCTCCTACTTGGAAAGACCTGGGGCCTGGGGAGGCACCACACCTTCCTCACTCTATTCTCAGACAGGAAGACTTTTCCTTAGTGTGCTGGCTTCTCACCATCCTTAGTGCTTTCAGTTCACCGACTCCCAGATGATTTCCAGAAGACTGAGTTCTGCACACATAACCCTACCAGTATTAGTCTATCATTCGATTCCCCATCCACACCCTCCCAGCCCTCAATCTCCTTTTTCCAAGAAAGCTAAATCACAGAATGACAGCTCCCTTAACTCTGTCAGGAAAAGAGTCCAGAGACCTGACTTTCTAAACCTGCAGTCTCCCAGCTTAGCTACATGATCATAGGCCAACTGCTTTAAGTGTTTGGAAATGTCTTCTACATAATAGAGAAAATCACACATGCCCTTCCTTACCTCCCAGAAACCACCCCTGGCAAGGCTCAGTGGCCCCCTCGCGGCAAAGCACAAGTAAGACAAGGGCACTACACACTCCATTTAGATTTGAAATATATTAACATATATACACTCTAATGAATAAATGAATGAATACAAGTCTTAATTCCCCATGTCCTGCTCACTTTTCTTTCTATTCAGGTTTCTGGAGACACAAAGGAGTAGAAAATGCAAAGGACAGGCAGTGCAGTTCAGTGGAGATAGCCTGGGCTTTGAAGACAGACAGGCCTGTCTCTCTTGCCCTTGAGGACAGGATCAGGTTCTGTTTCGCCCTTCATCCTTAGAACCCAGCACTGTGCCAGGCCACAATGAATGTCCATTGGATTAGGGCAATAAAAATACTGTGTGATACTATAATGGACACACACACACAGAGTGTATAACTCCAAGAGTGAGCCCTCATGTAAACTATGGACTTTGGGTGAACACGATGTGTCAATGGAGGTTCATCAACTGCAACCACTCTGGGGAATGTTGATAGTGAGGGAATCTATACATGTGTGGGGACAGGGGCATATGGAAAATCTCTGCACCTGCCGCTCAATTTTGCTGTGAACTTAAGCTGCTTTAAAAAATATTTTTTAAATGTCCATTGGATGAGCCGTAGCCACTGTGGCTCCGTGGTTAGAGTGTTGGCCCGTGCACCAAAGAGCCTAGGGTTTGATTCCCAGTCAAGGGCATGTACCTGGGTTGCAGGAGGAAACCGATCGATGTGTCTCTCTCACATTGATGTTTCTCCCAACACCACTCCCTCTCTCCCTTCCCCCCTCTCTAAAAATCAATGGAAAAAATATCCTTGGGTGAGAATTAACAAAAAATAAATAAATGTCCATTGGATGAATAACTATAGATGGATTCCAATTCTAACTAATCCACACACCTGCTATGTAATCTCAAACAAGTTAGCAAGTCTCACTGGTTGGTTATTCACCTTTAAAATGGGAATAACACTACCTTGAAGAGTTATTGTAGGAGCAAAATAACACATATATATAATGCTGGGCATAAAGCAAATTACATCTTGGTCAATTCACAGCTTTGTGATTTCCTAGGCTCTCCACTTCATCTTTGCCACCATCCCTCTGATCTGGAATCCAGCTCAGTGTTTCAATCCCTGTGTCCCCAACTGTCTCTAAAGCATCTGTAACTACACGACCAATGAGCTCAAATTAAAACTATCTAAGACTGAAAGCTCAATCCCCTCTCTCCACAGCACTTCACAGTACCAATGGAGACTGGAGACTGAATCCTTAGTCACCTCAGATGCCTTCAAATCACCAAGGTCCTTAATTCTTTTGTTGAAATGTGTCACTACTATCAGATCTCCCTACAAAGAACAAAGTTAACAGTAATAACAGTAGCTAACATTTACAATGTCCATACATTGTACCAGGCACTTTTCTAAGGTACATGTATCAACTTACTTAATCCTTAAATAATCCAATGAGGTTTATGGCCCATTTTAGAAATAAGGAAACTGAGGCACAGGAGAGCTCAACTTGCCCGAAGCTGTACTGCTAGTGCACGGCAGGACTCATAACCAGGCGGCTGGCATCACATCCCAAACACCCGAAGGCCCTACGCTGCCTCTGTGAGCTGCCGTCTCTCTCCAAGAGCACCTGTCAGCAGACAGCAGTTAGGCTGAGGCTTTTTTTTTTTTTAATAATTTCTTAATTGATTTTTTAGAGAGAGAGAGAGAGAGAGACTGTTCTGTTGTTTCACTCATTTATGNTTTTTTTTTTTTTTTTTAATAATTTCTTAATTGATTTTTTAGAGAGAGAGAGAGAGAGAGAGAGAGACTGTTCTGTTGTTTCACTCATTTATGTNTTTTTTAATAATTTCTTAATTGATTTTTTAGAGAGAGAGAGAGAGAGAGACTGTTCTGTTGTTTCACTCATTTATGCAGTCATTTGTTGCTTCTTGTATGTGCTCTGACCAGATATCGAAGCTGCAACCTTGCTGTATCCGGACAAGGCTCTAATGAACTGAGCTGCTCGGCCAGGGCAGGCTGGGGCTTTCTAAGTAGTCCTTCAGCCTCCAGGTCCATGCAATCTGCAGTTCAAAGTAAACACTGCATCAGAAAATCACCCAAATAGGCAGGGACGCAGCCGCCCTGCACGATGCACTCCAGCCTGAACCCTCCCACTGTGCTGGCTCCAGGTCACACCACCAACATGCTCGGCCACTGCTGGCACCACTGACCCCCACATACCTATAGTTGCCAGAAACATCTCTCCTTTTTGGGTCAGCAAAGATATGGCTGCCAATTTTCAAATGGAAATGTTACTAGGTAGCTTAAGGAAAACAGAACAAAATTCCATAATCCATAGAAATTGGTCAAGTAACCAAGTGCAAATTTATGATACTAATTTTTTAACAGCCCTGTCTGGCTGTTTCTATATGTGGGAATGGATGTGATCTAAAATGTGTATACTGAGGTAGGTTTTTATTTTGTATTGTCCCCACATCTATGGGACCTCTATCCTAATCAGAGTTTACTCCTTTCACTCACAACCTTACCCCCACCGCCAACCTGCCCCTCTAGCCCAGAGCTATAATCTTTCTCCAGAACCACTCTAATCCATTGGCTCCTGAAGACTGTTTCCCTAAATCAGGGTTTCCCAATGTCTGCACTATTTTTTTTTTTAATCCTCACCTGAGAAGTGAGGATACGTTTCCCACTGATTTTCAGATAGTGGAAGGGGAGAGAGAGACAGGAGAGAGAGAGAAACATCGATGTGAGAGAAGCACATCAATTGGTTGCCTTCTGGGAGATAGAGCCTGCAACCCAGGTACATGCCCTTGACTGGGAATCGAACCAGTGACCCTTTGATGGGTGGGCTGACACTCTAACCACTGAGAAACACAGGCCAGGGCTCAGTGTCTGCACCACTGACCTTTGGAGCAGGATGATTCTTCGTTGCAGGGGGCTGTCTGGTACACTGTAGGATGATTTGGAAGCATCCGTGGCTTACCTACCAGACAGCAGCTGTGACAACCAAAACCATCCCTAGGTATTACAACCTCTGGTTGAAAAGCACTGCTCTAACCAACTGCCCTCAGAATATAGGCCCCAAACAGAAGTATCAGCATCCCAGGGAGCCTGTCAGAAAGTAAATTCCCCGGCCTACCCCAGATCTCCCAAATCAGGACTTCCAGGGAAGAGGCCAGCAACCGCACATGAACTACCTTGCCAGGTGGTCTGTTGGGAGCTCACACTTCAGGACTATTCATCTAAATGCAAGGCCACAGAGTCTGCTGCTTTTCTAAATCACCATGGCTCTAGGCCCCTGGGACCAACCTTGCTTCTGACCNTGTTGGGAGCTCACACTTCAGGACTATTCATCTAAATGCAAGGCCACAGACTCTGCTGCTTTTCTAAATCACCATGGCTCTAGGCCCCTGGGACCAACCCTTGCTTCTGACTCACCTCTCACGGTCCTGTCTAATTCACCTATAATTTCTTCCCTAGTTAGTAGTTAAGGCTGCTTCTACTCTCTGGAAAATCTTGGCTCTCCCCCTGGCATTTAGGCTACAAGCAGGCCTGGTGTCACCAGAAGCCCTATGAGCCTGAAGGCAGGCATGAGACCATCTTTCTCTAGAGACCAAGAGATAGAAGACGACCTCCATCCAATTCATTCTGCTCCAAAGCCCAGAAGTCCCTCCCTACCCATAACCACATCCCTGCTTCCTGTCGGGTGCTCCTCCAGCTCCTGTTAGGAGGCAGAAGCCACAACTGGAAGGTCCTGGGCTCAGGGCACCAACAAGCCTTTTTGATGTCAGTCACCAGCTCCTTCACTTCCCCAGGTTCTACGGGATCATTCACCCATCAAGTGACCTTCCAGAATTTTCCCAGGGTATTTTTCAACCAGAACCTTACACACAGAGTCCCTCAGAATGTCCCAGGACAGTGTCCATAATCAGAGTCCACATGGCAACTGGCCCTTCCATCACAATCCACTGCCCAAGGAAGTTTCCAAAATCTTCTTTCTCTCTTGCTCAAAAACAGTATTAGCCAATAAAAGTAGAAACTTTTTCGTCAGACTTCACAGTTTCCCTGGAAGGTGATGGGGGCACAGTGGTTTGGAGTTAGAGTCAACTAGGACTCAATGCCAGCCTGACCACTCAGGAGTTATGTGACCTGGAACAACTAAGTCACCTAACCTCTCTGAGTCTCCATTTCCTGGCCTATAAAATGGAAATGAAAACTCTACATCAGAGTATTGCTGTGAGGATCACTGAACTTACGTATCCAAGTTGCTGGTTTGCTATACAAAAGCAATTATTACCACAACTTTGTTTTAATTAGATATTTTGGGGGCTTTATAACCATTAACTCACCCGTAGCCTCTGTCCAGAGTAAGTATTCCAGACCTGGGGTGCCCTGGGCACAATTAGCAGACACACAGGTAGCCCTACGCAGCTCATCGCAGATTCTGTATTCCTTAAGATGTAGTGCCTCTTTCCCTCACACGCCTCACCCGTGCCAGAACTGCTGACTGAGCACCAACCAGAAAAAATCTCTGAAGTCACCAACAAAATAAAATGCATCCCTGCCCAGGACAGTGCTCCTGCAAAGGTGTGGTGGCATACAGCGTCTATCACATCATTAACACCTCTCCCTCATTTCACTTCTTGCTAACTACTCATTTCCATGGTAACAGCTCTTCCACTCACCAGGCCACTCCCATTGCCTCTCTTTCCTGACCAAGGAAGTCAGAGCAGAAGTGGTATCCATAGGAAACACGATGTAAACATCGTGGGCACAGGCCCCCTCCCCCCCTGTACCTCCAAAGTCCATACCTGCTCCCCTCCCCGCCGAGGCTCCCTCAGCCCTCTCCACCTGCCCAGGTGCCAGCTTCTAAGTCCCCACACTCTCACCATGTTGGAAATGCTGCGGGTGTTGGCGGGGTTCAGCATGACAATCTCAGTGGTGATGTGACCCTCCACTGCTTCGGTCATCTCATCCACTGTGCAGTTGATGGACGGGTCATAGGTCTTGAACCAGTTATCAGCATACCACCCGATGAGGAACCAGACATACTTCTTACCGAAGAGTCGCTCCTTGTACACCTGGGTGCAGAGGAGGGGGCTGGGTCTGTGTTTCATTTTTTTGGTCTTATCTCACATGGCCTCTGGGGAATCAGAGAAATGAAAAGAGACATCTACAGGTCTTGGGGTGGGTAGTAGGGAAGGCTCCACTCCTCCTTCTAAATCCCTCCCCAGCTTCTATTTTCAAGTGGCCTCTTGCAGCCAGTAAGAAAAGATGGGATCCACAGGCTCCTCCAGAAACACAAAGTGGCAGAAAAATAAGATCTGGAGAAAGTGCCACGTGTGTGAGAAGCCAAGAGATGGAGTCAGAGCCAACAGAAAGGGACATCATATTGATCACCACCTCAGATCATCTCCCATAGACTTCAGGGGAGATGAGGAGAGGAGATCCCAGGAGACACCGAAGGCAAAGAGCCCGCCTAGTGCCCTCCCTCTTCAGATTCCAAATCCACCTCACAAAACACTTTTCGGGCTTCAGTCTCATAGAAAAGTCCCACGATGATTCGGGCATCCTGGCGCTGCAGAGTGGAGAGAGAAACAGCTCCTGAGCTACATCTGACACGGGAGGGGCTAAGGCAAATGCTCTTACAGCTCTGATTGCCTGTCCTGAAGGGCCTGGTGCACAGTTCTGTTCAATAGGTAGTGGATAAACATCAACTAGAAGGTGGAGATAAGCTTCCCCAGGAGATGCTACAGAATGGGAATTATGTGACCGTGATGGAGGTGTTGGCTAAAGCTAGGGTGGCACTCATGGGGCAATCTATGTGTATCAAATCAACATGTTGTGCACCCTACGCTTACACAGTGCTGTATGTCAATTACATCTCAACTTAAAAACAACAAAACCAACCTTCCCCCACCTGGCTCTTCTCTCCAGCCCACCACTGTCCCCCCTGCCACTTCCGACATCCCACCTTCAGGTTCTTCACGGGCACAGCTGGGTCTGAGAAGAAACTCTGGCGGAAAGTAATCTCAATGCCAGCCTCCTTCACGCGTTCCTCCAGATCATCCAGAGTCTGTAGTGGGAATGAGAATGGAGAAACATGGGGTACACAATGGGTAAGGACCAGAGATCTGACCTGGGGTTGCACACTCAACAAAGGAACAGTGGCGTGAAACTCCTTCCTTCAACACCCTCTGTCACAGGGTGGGGGGTGGTCAAAGGCAGGCACCTGGAGTCTCAGGGTGTGGCTTCCAAGTGAGGAGGTGCATGGGGAGACCTCCTGAGCATGTGTCCAGACAAGTCACTCCACTCACGCCCTCTGATCACTGACAGCAAACATGGTGGGGGGTGGGGGAGGAAACAGAGGCACCAGGGAAAGACGAGGCAGGGCCTGGTATACACAGATGATGTCAACCTCAAGACGCAAGTGAGCAGAAGACAGAAGGACCAGGGTAGAATGTCCTGTATCACTAAGAAAAAGTGGGGGGAGGACTCAGGAGCACTGAGTGCAAGAGTACACAGAGGATTCAAAGGGTAGGGCACAGGGAGGAAGCGGTCGGGCTCCCTTCCTCCAGCTCTCCCCCTCCCCCTTCCACCTGGCCTTGCTTGTCCACAGGGCTCTTCTCTCCATGGCTCTTCTCTCCGAGCTGGCTGCCTGACCCATGTCCACACACTTACCTTTCTGCCCGTCAACTCCCTCCCCCTTTCCTTCCCTCTGTACCTCTCTGTGTCCGTCTTCCTCTCCTTCTCTCCTCCCTCTGTGCCTGTGCCCATCTCCATAGCGCCACCCAGTTCCCATTCATACACACACCACCCCCTTGAGTGGCTCTAGAACCTGCTACCTCCCTGGGTTCCTATCCAAATTCTCTCCCTTACTCTGTCCCAACATTGGAGTGAACCTACTTTAATAGAACTGGGTCATTTGGGGCTATCTGTCCAGGGAACAAAGCATCAAAGAGGGGGGAGCCCTAAAACCAAAAAGTGGAGATCTCGGAAAGTCAACTTATGCATTCCTCTGGCATAGAAAAAGCATGCACATAACCCGCTGGGAACGTGTTCTCTTGTGATAAAGAATCCACGTCTCTCCCCAGAATAAATCCCATGTCACCTCTCTGCCTGGAGCTGGAGGGGACACCCGTTTACCCAGCCCTTTCTCACCGATGTGAAGACTTCGGTGGTCTGCTGGATGGTGGCGATCTTCTTCCAACCCCACTTTTGAAAAAGTTTCACCCGGGTTGGATTGTGCAGCGTGGCTGACGGGTGAGTTCGGAAGAAGGTGGGGAAGCGCTGTCGGTTTGACAGGGCTGGTGAGCTGGAGCCGTAGGAGAGCTAGGAGAGACCGATGAAGCAGCACAGGCGTGACTCCACAGGGGCCGCTGCCAAGGGTGCCCCAAGCCTGCCCGCTCTCTCCAAGCATCTCTACTCCTGCCCTAGGAGAGCAATTCTCAAAGGCCAGAGTCTCACAGTCAGGACGCTCCTTCCCTGATCCAACCCCAGTTCCTCCTGGGGACTGCGGCAGGGCTAGGCCCATGGGTTCGGGTAGGCAAAAGGCTCTGAATCTTGGAAGCTATCCTCTTAAATACGCCAAAAGAGAACGGCCTGCCTCCTGACCCCCAAACCCCACTTACCACAATGAGGTTCCACATCCTGGCAGCCTCAGCGACCAGCGTGGAGACGGAGCTGCAGCCGGGCATGACGATTATCTTGATGGGGTCGTTGTAGAGCAGCTCGTACAGGTACTTGGTGGCCTGGCCCGGGTCACACTGGGGGGACAGGCTCTCCTAGAGGGGCTCCTCCCATCCCTGCAACTCCTACTCTAGCTTTCCCCAAAAACCTAGTTACTTCCCCCAACTACCCACCCCTCTGCTGAAACTCTTTTGTGACGACTGCCACGTTCTTCCCCCTCCTGGAATCTCTCCTGTCTTCTCGGCCTCCCCCTCCTCACCCGTGCCCTCTCCTCCACCTCCACCGTCAGTACCGATGCGTGTAGCCCTCCCCTCCGCGCAGCTCATCCCGACACTCCTGTCCTGGCCCCTGCCCTCTATCACTCCTGCTTCTTCTTACTGTTTCTATGTTCCAAACATCTGTGTGTAGAAGAGTCTGCAAGAATATGAATAAACTCTCACGAAGTCCCCAGACAGCCTCAGCGCCAGCTCACGAACACTCCTCCCTCACCTCTGCAAACTCCCTCTCCCCACCTTTCATTTTGCCTTCCCTCTTCTCTTTACAGGGCTAGTGGTAAACAAGAGAACAGAACAAGTCCACCAGGGCATCCGGCTCAGCATCCATCTCTCCTGCTGGGCCCTGACATTTGATGAGCCCATTAGAAAAAGACACACACTCAGGGGTAGACGTGGGGGAAGAGACAAGGGCGAGAGGAGAACTGAGGAGAATAAATAGAATGACTCTCAGGAGACCAGATACTTTTTGGGGTGCCTGAGAGGCATGGAAGTGGGAAAGTAAACAATGCAGGAAGCTGGGAAGGAAAGGAATGCTGGGAGAAGGGGAGGTGGGAGGGCAAGCCACGGGTCTCCCAGCGCCTGCTGCCCTCCTGCTGAAAGATGGCATTTCAAAAGCTGCTGAAGCCTCAGAGGAAGTGGAGAAGAAATGGAGGCCAGTGGGGAGGCAGGCCAGAGGGGACACAGGCAGGAGGCACAGGGGGCAGGGGAGGTGAGATGGGGGGCAAGTTGCAAGGAAATAAAGAAGGCCCCCTAAAGCCTGCTTACTTCCCACTGAGGCCTGACATTTGGGACTCGGTTGGGAACCTGAGGGCGGAGTGGGGAGGGGGGCAGAGTCTGAGAGCCCACCCGCCCCCACTGCCAAGGGCAGTCTTCACTGTCTGCATAACAGCTGTTTTGAAGGTTCTCCATTCCTCCCACTTGGGCATCTTTTGGTTCTCAGGTCCCACTTGCCTGCCCTCTCCCAGCATCTGTTACTCCAGATCCTGAGCTTCCCCCAGGGTCCCTCAGTGCCCCTCGCTTTCTTGTCTGAGGAAAAGGTGGTTAGGAACAAGGAGGGCACACGACATGTAAGATACACACAGAGAGGGCAATGTACGCTGCCCAGCGTCTTCCTTTGTGTCCGCGTCCCTCCCTGCCTCTTCCAGCACCCGGTCCCCTTCCACTCCCAAAGTGCTCTGCAGACTTCCAGCACCGCACTCCCCCCCCAGCACACCTCTGTTCCTCTCCCCCCCTGCTCGCCTCCGATCCGACTTGCGGGCAGGGAGCGACACGTTCCAGTCCACCTGCCTGTCCATCGCCCCCTTGCAGCCTCTGCTATTTTCTCCTCCATCGCCCTTTTCTCAGGTCCCCCATCTGCTCCCCAGCACCTCCAGGACTCACCTGCGGTGGGTGAGTCTGCGCTTCCCGTGGCCCGCTGTCATAAAGCCTGCACCCGTCCCTCCCTTTGGCTCCCAGTACCCCCGCCTCCCACGGCCTAGCCCCTCTCCTGCTCTCCTAAGCCGGACCTTCCCACCAGCGGACCCTCCTTCCCACCCGCCTCTCCTGCGCCTGCTGCTCGTCCCTCCCCGACGGGCTGAGCGGCACAGGCACCCAGAGGGCAGGGTTTTTATGTTGGTAAAAGGCAGATCCTTGGGACTCATCCCTAACCGAGGAGCTGGGATCTGTGTATAACAAAGTCCTGCGGTGGTTCTCATGTACACCAAAGTTGGAGAATCACTGTGCAAGTGTCCGTGGGGGCCTGAAGGTCCCTCTCCAAGTTCCCAACAGCCCTTGGGCTTCCTTCTTCCCACGTCTGCCCCTCCTCCCTCACACACCTATGTCCAGGTGTAGATTACAGAAGGGGTGAGGTCACCAAGTCCTCCCCTCTGGACTTCACTCCCGAATCCCTTAAGTCACTGCCCACAGGTCAGAGAAGATAAATGGGAGGTCCCATATTTCTTTCCTCCCTGAGCCATGCCCTTCCCCATACTCCCAATTACTCAAGTAGGGGATAGGAGAGGAAAAGGAATCTTACAGGACATTCCCTACACCTGGGCCCAAATTCCCCCCCCACCTCTCTAACCCGACATTCCATCTCCCTTCTCACATCTCGGGGGCCAGGATGCTGGAAGGAAGATGAACCCGAGCCCCAAGCTCACAGGGCGGCCAGGATCGCTCGGTGCCCAGCCCTCCTCCTTGGCCCTCCCACTGTCACCCTCCCGGGCCCTTCCTCCCGCCCGTGCCCTCCCTCCCCATCCCCACGCCGCTGGCGCTCCCACGCGGGCCTCTAATCCGACTCATTTCCCCAGCGTCTCCGCCCGTCCTCACCAGTGACGAGCCTTCTGCAACCACAGGTGCCACGGGCCCCCGCCAGGAGTCCCCCCAGGGCGGCCGCGGGGTGGGAGTCGGGGGGGCTCAAGGTACCCCTCAGTGTTTGTGATAAACAAACTCATGCCCCTCCAGGTGCTCCTCTTCCGGCGCTTACTCCTTCCAGCGCCAAGCTGATGCCCAGGCTCAGCTCCTTACCCCGTCGATGTAAACCCCACCCTGGCCACCTCTGGCGTCCCGCGCCCCTCGGCCCATCCCAGGGCAGGCGACGCCCCGGGGGATCGGGTCGGCTGGTGCCCCAACCCCAGCACGCCCGCGGGCCGGCCGCAGCGCAGCAGGGTCTGCTCTGGGACGCGACGCACCCTTTGCACCCCCAAACCCTCCTCCTGACC